CCATAATCTTTTTTTTTTTTTTTTTTTTTTTTACACAATGTTTTATATTTGTACTTAAAAGACTTTTGTGTGCTCTTTAATATTGTATGCGGATCTGCTTTAATGTATTATTTTTAAAAATAAGAAGAAAATGTTTTGGTTTTTATATTTATATATATATATATATATATATATATATATATATATATATATATATAATATATATATATATATATATATATATTATACTGTATATTATATATATATATATATATATATATATATATATATATATATATATATATTCTAACCCAGACTCGTATATGTACAGAACAGTTTTGTAAAGACTTTTGTGTGCTATATAATATTGTATGCAGATCTGCTTTAATGTATTATAAAAAATAAAAATATCATGTATTGAATAATAATATATATAATATATATATAATATATATATATATATATTATATTTATTCAATACATGATATTTTTTTAAATAAAAAAGTATAAAATATATATATTATATATATATATATATATATATATATAATTTATATACTTTTATATATTTATAAAATAATATCATATATTGAATAATATATATATATATATATATATATATATATATTATTCAATACATGATATTTTTTAAATAATACATTAATACATATAATAATATATAATTAATATATTATTAATAATATATAATTATGTAAATAAATATATACATAAATATATACAGTGCTGCTCAAAAGTTTACACAACCCTTGTAGAATCTGTGATCATTTTAACAAAATAAGAAGGATTAATACAAAATGCATGTTATTTTTTATTTAGAACTGTCCCGAATAAGATGTTTTACATAAAATATGTTGACATATAGTCCACAAGACAAAAAAAAAATAAATAAATTAAAAAAATAGAATTAAAAAATGTTCAATAGACCCTGTTAAAAAGTTTATGTTCTTGATTATTAATACTGCATGTCATTACCTGGATGATCCACAACTGTTTTTTTTTTTTTTTTTTTTTTTTGTGATGGTTGTTAATGGGTCCCTTGTTTGTCCCTTGCAGTTGAATGTCCATTGTTCTTCAGAAAAGCCCCCCAGGTCCCATAAATTCTTCAGTTTTCCAGCATCTTTTGCATATTTGAACCCTTTCAGTGACTATGATTTTGTGATCAATCTTTTGACACTGAGGATAATTGAGGGACTCAAACACAAAATTCAAACATTCACTGATGCTCCAGAAGGAAAAATGATATATTAAGACACGGGGGTGAAAACTTTTGGAACGGGATGCAGAGTACATTTTTTTTTCCTTATTTTGTTTAAATATCAATGGTTTTTATTGTATTACTGCCCTTCAGAAGCAACTTAATATACTACATGTTTCCTTGAAGTCATCAAAAGTTTTAATTTTTATAAAACTAAGCTATTTTTTTGTCTTGTGGACTGTAAGTAAAAAAAAAAAAGAGTCAAATATCTTATTCAGGACAGTATGATCCCTCTTATTTTGTTAGAATTATTATTATTTTACAGATTCTGCAAGGGTTGTGTAAACCTTTGAGCAGATCTGATGTCACAATGAGCACAGATTTTACTTTTTTTGTGTGTGCAATTAGTTTGGAAGCCATGAATGTCAATCAGTGATTTTATTTTTATTATTAAGAGGTTTGCACAAGAGTTAACTGTAAACTGAAACATTAAACTGAAATGTCTTCCCCTGAGTGTTCTGATTTTCACTCTACTAAACTATAATTACTAAAACTTGGTTATCACTGAGTTTGTATTTGATGAGGATCCATCTCTGTATTCTTTGACTGTAGATATTTCTGCCCGATCATACTCTCGCTCAGTTCAGGACTATCTCTCTGATGTAGTCTCTCTCTCTTTCTCTCACACACACTCACAGACTGAAAGATTGAATGGTTGAAAGATGTTACATTTCACATAAACCCTCTTCTGCTTCTCTGAACCAGATTTATCACAAATTATCTTCATCTGTCTTTCCATACTCTTTACTCCGTGCTTTATTTTTGATTTTATACATATTTAGCTGATGTGTTATGAAACCTCATTTCTTATCCTTTGTCATAAATGTGCAATGTCATCTATGTGCAATTTGTTATCGGTGATTTTACCTTAAAGTCCAAATAATACATTTTTCCTTTGAACCTTTACAATAGACAAACTGTGAATGTATAATCAATTTACACAAACACACATTTTTACAAGAAGATGTTGATCTGTACGCATTTAGTTATTGATTTGAACCAGAATCACTGTCACTGGAGGTGTCTACATTCATACTTTAGATATTTTAACACTTACTCTGCATAGTGCTGTCCGTGTGTGCATTATGCGTTTTGTAAAGTCACTTTCAGCTTTAGGAGTTATATTAATAAAAATATGTATCAAAAGAGCCACAATCTGAGCATCTCTTTTAAGTGGGAAATTATAAAATACAGCATGCAACATTACTTAGACACATTTATGAATGACATTGCTGATTATTCAGTAGAAATATTAAACATCGTTCAGCAGTCATAGTGTCCCAGTATGTCTGTCCTGTGTTTAATCAGATATGCATGTCTTTCAATCCTGTTATCATAAGATACAATTGTAATGGCCGTTCACCTTAAAGTTGTTGCTGAAATCTTAGTACTAAGTTATGTTATTTCATGAGTTACACTGGTCATACTTTCAGTTAGTAATTCACACCGTATATCTTTGGCAGTGCTGTTGTTAGCTTCACTTTTGCTCTAAAGCAGATATTTCTATTTCAGGGTTTAAAGTTACACTGTAAAAAATGATCGTGATTTTAATGGTAAAAGACTGTAAAAATGCTACATTGAAAAACTGTTAATTGGTTAACAGAACCTTTCCTTACTATATACGGTAAATAACTGTGATAGATCTAATGGTAAATTTCATGTAATTTTACTGTAAAATACTGTTAAATTTACAGTTTTTAAAGTGAAAATGAACAACTCATTGTATAATTTACAGTGAAATTCCCTGCGTGACACTCCACACTTGATGTATTTTTGTTGAAATAACTTGTTTCTTCATAGTTTGCTTAGTCTTTTTCTATTCAGTTAGGTACATTAGGTTTTTTATGTGACATTTAATGCTATTAAATTCATGTTTATTGCCTTTTTAAAATTTCATGTTTGCTACCATGATGGTGTTTAATGTTTGAGTGAATGAAACTGTGCAGCTTCTATATATTAGAATTAAGTTTCTTGTGGAAAAACTGCATGTGGTGAGTTTCCATATATCATGTGACTCTCATTACTGCTGTGATTGATGAATGTCAGTATATTACAATGGTATGAAACAGAAATTAACACTTCAATTGGTCGATAATTTAACAGTATATCAGATAATTCAATACGGTTTATCTCCGTAAATTTTAAGTTAATTCTGTAAAATCTTATGACCGTAAATTCTTGCTACCGTATTTTATACGGTAAATTTCTGGCAACCACAGCTGCCGGTATTTTACCGTAAATTGAACACATTTTTTTTACAGTGTACTAGTAAGAAATGTTGCTATAACTACAAGTGTGATGATCTTCATTTAACAATTTTATTACATTTACCTCTAAGATACTTTGCCATAAAGATGAGTCTAAAAATGAGGAGTTTTTATGACGCATCTGTTTAGCAACTGTCCAGACTCATGATTTGAGCTTCTAATCCAGGATAAAGGATGATTTAGTCTCGTGACTATAAGGCCACGTGTAAACTGTTTGATTAATGTAAGGGTCTAGATGTAGAGTAATGTTTTCTCTGAGCAGATGTTTGTGTGTTGTGTAACTGTGACTCTGCACTGAGCTCATCTGCAGTGTATAAGATGTTCTGACATGCCTTTAATCGGGTCATGAACGCCTGATGCATACACGTGAGCATACATAATGCAACAACAGAGAGATGGGGGTGAATTTGCTATTCTGAGCTTAATTTAGAGATTTTCAAGTGACATTATGAGAAAATTTAAAGGAGAACTCTGGTCAATTTTAACATTGAGCTCATTGTTTTGTACATTTGGAGTAAAAACGACACAAATCGGTGTTGCCTACATGGTGTTATCGTCTTTTTAACATCCGTAGCCTGTTGACTTCAATGGGACATGTTCTAAACCTGCTTTTAGCCTCTTAACATCCTCGATTTGTCATTACGAGTGCATGGCCATGTGAGTAGTGTTATTAAGAGTGACCACGGTCAATCTGACTACAGTAGATGTGAAAGATATTAATAAAAAATGATGTTAATTCAGCCAGCGCACATACCTGTATTTGTTTTTGCTCAAAGCCCACAGTGGTCGATTGTCGATCTCACGCGTGCGATCATTACTGAATATCATCTCAAACCTCCTTTAATAGCATTAGATCTTCAGATGGTTCACTTAAAGAAAAAAAAACATAAGTGTTTTATTAATTGAATCATAGTTGTTGGCTTAACAATAGTTAATATGAGTGCCAGTTATGAGTGTATGGAATATACATGTAGTTATCACTCTCAGAAAAGGGTAAAAAAGGGGTCACTTGGATTGTTACGGTTTCAAAAGGTACACCCTTGTACCTTATTTACCCCTAAAGGGTGCATATAAGTTTTGTAAAGGTATGTTAGTATCTAAATGCTGGCATGACGAAACTTGGTGTATTTACTAGTTGCCATATTAACAGTTTATATAGAGAAAAAAATGCGCCAAAATTCCGAAATCTTTGTAAGATATCACTGAACATTTATTTAAGCATGGCAAAAGTACATTTCTTACTTAAGTTAATTTGTAATCTCTATTTTTTGTATTTAGACAAATCTGATATTATTTTAATCTCCAATCTGTTGTTTAACAGTTGATATCGTTATTTAATGCTTCTCTAACTAGCAGGGTTTAAACCCCAGTTGTGCATTTGGGGTATGTTGTCACACTGCGTTACAATGTGCCCCTATTAGAAATATGCTATTATATTCTATACTTTTATGGATTCTATTGAGAAAACGTGAGAAACA